GGCCTTGTGCGTGCACCCATGCACACGGGTGTGCACGTGTCTGTGCATGTGTGTGGACAAGCACAGCGAACACAGCAGCTGATTGTATGTGAAGATGGTCAAAGCCACACTACATCACACTCAGTCCACTGGTTGTGCAGTAATTTCCTCTCTATTCTCACCCCAAGCACCTGATTTTTTCTTTTGTTTTTAATATGATGCAGTTTTAAGGGGTTTTTTTTCCCCTTCTTCTTCTCCAGAAGATACACTGGTGGGAGACCTTAGAATCCCACTGCGCGGCCCTCCAAGTCTTGTTGTTTTTCTCCATTCTAAGCATGAACATTTACCTCCAACTGCGCCAAAGTTGCAACGCTCAGTTCCTTATGTTTTCTTTTCACTAATTCAGATGTGGTGAGATGTGCAGTTTTTTAAAAAGAAAAGAAAAAGAGCCTCAAAATAAACAAGGGGAAGACTCCTTTTTTTTTTTTAACAGACTTGCTAGTGGGGGCACTTGCACCGGTGGGGGCAGGTGGGCGGGGTGGGGGACTGAGACGCTGAAGGGCTCCCCGGACCACCGCCCAGAGTCTTTCAGCCCACCTCGCCCCTCGGAGCAATGTCCAGCAAAAAGGGATGTTTCTTCTTCCTCTTCCTTTTGAAAACAACCTTTTCCTGACCACGACCACGGACTCAGAGAGGGTGGGACACATTTTTTCTCTTCTCCTTAGAAAAACAAACACACGGGGTGCCTGGGTGGCTTAGTGGGTTAATTAAGCCTCTGCCTCAGCTCAGGTCATGATCTTGGGGTCCTGGGATCAAGCCCCGCATCGAGCTCTCTGCTCAGCGGGGAGCCTGCTTCCCCTTCTCTCTCTACCTGCCTCTCTGCCTACTTGTGATCTCTGTCTGTCAAATAAATAAATAAAATCTTAAAAAAAAAAAAAAGAAAGAAAAACAAACACGCACCGCACCTCCATCTTCTCCTTGAGCTTTTGGGTCTGGCTCAGGGGAGGAAGCAGCTGCTACACCCAACGTCCTTGACCATCAGCCTCACATCCCAGCCTGGTTCAGTGTCCGGGATACCCACTCCCCCACCCCCTTTCAAGCAAGGAATCTCGGGTGTTGCTGAGCCCCCAGGACTTGATCTTCGTCACTCCAGGGGCGTTTTCTTTGAATGCGATCCAGTCTCTCAGATTCCCACGTTCCAAGAAGCGGCTCTCTGTCCTATGGAACATTCTGTTGCTGTTGTCTGTGAACCAGGCTTATTTTGTTCTTTTCATGAGGGAATGTTTCCATCAGGGGCCTGTGAGTTGAAAAGGCTCACTGCTCAGAATGAGGGTGGCTTTGTCTCTCCCCGCTTCGTGACCTTTGTCAGGACTCCTTTCGGGGCTCCAGACAAGATAGAACGGAGAAAAGTGCTTAGAGCCGGTGCTGAGGAATTTTGAGAGTTTGCAGAGAAACTACTTGCCAGGCTGCCTGGATATATTAAAATGTCATCTCTGCATTTTGGACACGACTAGCTTGTTTAGTTCATGCAAGAGGGGAAAACAGAGTTTGTTCTCAAGGGAGGGAAGCAGACGGAGAGAACAGGCATGTGAACAGGGGACAATGTTCCAGCCGCTTTGTTAAGAGAGCTGAATCCTCCATTATTAGAACCAAAAATCATCAGCCAATTCGAGCCTCCTGGGAATGATGCTGGGCTGGAACCGAAGTGGCCAAAGCCCCACAATATGGAGGCAAAAAGCTAAATTCTGTTCTTTTTTTAAAACATTTTATTTATTTGAGAGAGACAAAAAAAAAAAAAAAAAAAAGAGAGAGAGAGAGAGAGAGAGAGAGAGAGAGCACAGAGGGAGAGAGACAGGCAGAGTCCCCACTGAGCAGGGAGTCAGGGGCCGGACTCCAGGGCCCAGGACCCTGAGATCATGACCTGAGCTGAAGGCATACACTTAACTGACTGAGCCACCCAGGTGCTCCTAAATTCTATTCTTTTCCTCAGGTTTTTAGGAAAGGAAGCAGAGCTGCTTAACATTTGTTATATATGATGTGTCAGACACTGGGCTTGATGTTTTAGGCATGCTGTTCAGTTCTCACAGCTGCTTTGAGAATAACTATTATTACTAATCTGTGCCTATGAGTTTGATTTATATTATGCTCTCATTACTCGCATCCTTACTCAGTCAGATAGCTGTTGAAATGTCACCTTTGACAAGCCCTTCCCGAGCCTCCAGTCCATAACCACACACCTGCCATCCTCTGTCTCATTTCTGTGGCTCCGTGGATGCTTTTACCTTCCTGGTGAAAGCCTCTCAATTCCAATTTATTAATTCTCTCTTCAACTACATTCAGTTTAGAAACTATCCTATGGAGGTTGTTGTTTTTTTTTTTGTTTTTTTTTTTTTTAAGATTTTACTTATTTATTTGACAGAGAGAAATCACAAGTAGGCAAAGAGACAGGCAGAGAGAGAGGAGTATGCAGGGTTGCCGCTGAGCAGAGAGCCCGATGCAGGGCTTGATCCCAGGACCCTGGAATCATGACCTGAGATGAAGACAGAGGCTTTAACCCACTGAGCCACCCAGGCGCCCCTATCCTATAGAGTTTTAAAAAAATTTTCAGTGGTTATATTTTTCTTCATGATTTCTAATTTTATATCCACCTGTATTTACTTCATTAGTCTGTTTTTCTTTTCTTCTTCTTTTTTTTTTGTATAATGAATCTCTTAGAGAATCCTGTATCATAATCACTGATGGTGAGGCAGGAGTTCTTTTTTTTAAGATTTTATTTATTTATTCGACAGAGAAAGCGATCACAAGTAGGCAGAGAGGCAGGCAAAGAGAGAGGGGAAAGCAGGATCCCTGCTGAGCAGAGAGCCCGATGCGGAGCTCAATCCCAGGACCCTGGGATCATGACCTGAGCTGAAGGTAGAGGCTTTAACCCACTGAGCCACCCAGGTGCCCTCATTTGTCTGTTTTAATGTCGTAATAAATCACTGGCATGGATCTTTTGTAAGGATGTAATGCCTTCATTGATCTCTCCAAGGATGCTAAGTGCACATATTTTTAAGTCTTTTTCAAAATTTTTTATTCTTTTTTTCTGGAAAAACTCATAAACCAATTATTGATTTTATTGGCTCTTTCTTGGCATTCGATCGCTTCATGAATTTTAAAGTTGGGTTTACAGGATCATTATATGTAGGAATTTCTTCTCCCTGCCTTTCTTCTTCTCTATGTATTCTTCTTTGTGGCGTTTATGTTTGAGTCTAGTTATCAATACATCTTAGGCAGCAGCAGGCACACGTTTTCCAGTTTCCTTTCACAGGCCAGGGAAGACCTGCCCCAGCTTCCATTCCAGCTGTGAGCTCTGAGCATGACTCTGGCTCCCATGCCTCCCATGGAGCACCTTTCCCCTTTAGTGTGCTTTTATCTGTACAAGCCGAACTCCAGGCTCCAATTACCTACTTCCAGATCCAGAGCCTGGCAGTCCCTCAGATCAGCCCCTACTATTAGCTTTGCATTTTGATTCTATTCCAGGACTGTGGATATATATACGTGTGTATATATCATATATATATTTTATATATATATTTATGGATTTATATAGATTTATATATATTATAGATTTGCAGATTTGTATATATATATAAAATTTTTGAGTGTGGCTATTACTTTTTTAAAAAATATTTATTAGAGAGAGAAAGAGAGAGAGCATGGGCATGCATAAGAGGGAGGGGCAGAAGGAGAGGGAGAGAGTTTCAAGTAGGCTCTGCGCTCAGTGTAGATCATGACCCGAGCCAGAAACAAGAGTCAGACGTTTAACCGACTGTGTCACCCAGGCACCCTGGGTGTGGCTATGACTTTTACATGTTCTCTATCCTTGCTGTGTGTTGGATCAGAGAGGGCTTCATAGCATTCTCTTACAATGCCCCTGAATCTGGTGAATAGGAATAGGAGTTGGGAAACATATTTATAGTAGGACAGAAGTGGGAGTTAAAAACCAGGCAGTTATGTACAGGTTGGAAGAGCAAAGAACCCAAAGAAACGATGAGGTCAAGGATCACTGGTGAGTTGATATGCAGGAACCCCAGTTATGAAGATGTTAAGAAAAGGCATAACACTTAAAGTTGGGTTGAATGACCATGACTTCTCATGTCCTCCCTTCCCTCTCCTTCCTTTTTCTCAAACCCCCACTCCCTCACCCCCTTTCATGTTGGTGATAATCCCTCAGGTGACCAACCATTTTAGTTTGTCTAGGACGGTTTTGATTTTAGCACTGGAAGTCCTACTTCCTAGGAAAGCCTCAGTCCTGGGAATCTAGGATGGCTGGACACCTTAACTTCCTACCTTTCACCTTGCCAATGCTAATAGAAGACCTCAAATGCCAAAATGAACCTTACTAAGGGGTGATCTTGAAAGACAATAACCAGGAAGGGGAAGAGGCAGGAGTAGGCAATGGGCCTCTGTAGTCTTGGCTGGGGCAGAGGAAGCCACAACCCAAGTGGTACTTTTCGCTCTGCATCTGGTAGAAATATAGACTGGAAAGTGATCTTTGAAGTTTGTGAGTCTTAGAATTTACTCACTTAGAGAAATTTGAACCATCAATGCAAATGGTGTTTATAGTTCCTCTTATACTGGATTCAGAAAATACTTGCTTTTGGAAAGGAAGATTGTATAAATATTATTTGATTTGATTTCTCTGTAGTCTTCTTGAGTTCAATAAGCCACGCTGTTATTTTTTAAATATGTTGAACTAAATAATATTCAGTTCCACTGACTCTGTATTTTTTTTTAAGATTTTATTTTTTTGTCAGAGAGAGAGAGAGAGAGCATGAGAGTGAGCACAGGCAGACAGAATGGCAGGCAGAGGCAGAGCGAGAAGCAGGCTCCCTGCTGAGCAAGCAGCCCGATGTGGGACTCGATCCCAGGACTTTGGGATCATGACCTGAGCCGAAGGCAGCCGCTTAACCAACTGAGCCACCCAGGCGTCCCTGACTCTGTATTTTTTATCAGAGATCAAGACCATATGTCATTTCATGCTTCCTTTGGTAGCACATTTACAAAAATTAGAACAATACTGAGAAGATTAGCCTGGCTCCTGAAAAGGATGACACGCAAATTTGTGAAAACCATACGTCACTTCATCTTAGAAGAGCACTGGTCAGTTCCACAACCACTGTCACTACAGCTAAAAATAATGCTTCCAAGGCTGTCCTTGGCTGTCCGTAGTTGTTGCAAACACTAATTTTGTTTGGAAGGTGGTGGAGGTTGGTCCTGTGTAGCAGCCATATACCTTGACTCAGGGAATGAATTAAGATTGATAAATTCCATCTAGCCATGGCTATACGATTTCTCTTTGTAAACTGTTCATTGTTCCATCCTCCATGCTGCTAGGAGTGAAATGTTACCAGAAGGGACCAATGAGACATAAAATGAAAGTCAGCTGGGAGTTTTCCAGGAAATGTTTTCCTTTCTAATAAAAGGGACAGCCTTGGGGGAAAAGAAGAAAAAGAAAAAGAAAGAAAGAAAAAAAAAGCTTGCTGCCATCCCTTTCTTCTCCTTCCTATCTGGAATATGGATGTGATGCCCAGAACTAAGGCAGCCACGTCAAGTCCATGAAGCAATGCACATGATAATGAGGAACAATACGCCTATCAAGTCAGAGTGTGAGGAGAGCAGGAGCCTGAGCCCCGGATGAAATGGTCAGACCTTCCCTGAGACACTGTAAACTCTGCACTTGTTTAATAAAAACAGAAGTCCTTATTATTCAGATGCCTCTTGATGCCTGGCTCTTAACTTGCAACTAAAAATCAATTTCATGCTGAAAAGCAAGGTAAGTAACGCATAGTGATGACACATGGCCATGGAAAGGGGGACCTATGTTGCCAGACTTGTCATGGCTTTTGGTGAATTTTTTCATTCCAGAGCTCTTTATACTAAATAGGAGAGGAAAAACACTCTTTTTGTTCCCTTCAGTGCTCAATGATTATTCAGCATCAGTATAAACAAAATGTACTCTAATGTTCTCTCACTGCAGTGGCTATTAAGGGATGAGACATTGTAACTCACACGATGCCATACTAAAATCCTTTTGTGCATCTCGAAATAGAATATCATCTGTGCCTTATTGTTCTAGGGCCAAAGGAAATAGACTGAGGACCAGCAGAGCTTCCAGGGCAATGTTTTTGCTGGGAGGCTGGATTAATCCACCAGGAGAACTAGACAATTGCTTCTAGCAGGCTGGGAGTTATACCCACAAACCCACTGCCATCCACAGAACTAAGATTCAGCCGGTGCTCAGGTGGACAGGGAGCCCCACCCAAAGCAGCCCAGATAGCTCCTGTGTAAATCTTACCTTGATCAAGGGTGGGTAAAAGGGTGAGAAATGAATTCTGTGGGGAAATTCTATAGAACAAGGTAAAGAGAACATCATTGCAAAGGCTCAAAGAAAGAACATGCCTCTGAAAATGATTTACTGCAGGAACCAGAAGATTTGGGGCAATGTATAGCATCCTTACTACACAGAAAAAAGGCAGAAAGGAGGAAAAATAAAACACAAGAGAAACCCAAAGAAACAAATATGTTAAGAATGAACCATAAGGGGTGCCTGGGTGGCTCAGTGGGTTAAAGCCTCTGCCTTCGGCTCAGGTCATGATCCCAGGGTCCTGGGATCGAGCCCTCCATCGGGATCTCTGCTCAGCAGGGAGCCTGCTTCCCTTCCTCTCTCTGCCTGCATCTCTGCCTGCCTACTTGTGATCTGTCAAATAAATAAATTAAATCTAAAAAAAAAAAAAAGAAGAAGAATGAACCATAAGATTTTTGAGCACTCTTAACCTCTGAGTACCAACCATGGACCAGCACTGCCCTGGGGCTGGCTCCGTGTTGGCTAGAGCTGAGCCTTTGGTCACCAGGGGCTCACAGCGCTACCATCCCCTTCCGTCACAGTAACTTATCCCACACTGAATTGTAGCAGCTATGTTATCATGAGGGCCTACTGTACTGTAAAGTGCTTATTTTCTAGACACACTCACTCTATTTTGGGAAGAAATTAAATTACCATCTCCTAAGTAAATAAATGAAGGAGGGAATGCATACGAGGATGGAAAGCACGGCATGTTTCATTGAACTCCGGTTGTTTTATTCAAGACAATCTAAGAAAATGTATCATTCTTTGGAAGATCTGTTTCTCCTTGTTTCTGTGGAAGTGATGGAAGCCCCCAGGAAGAGAGGCTGTAACGAGAACACAGGCTACTTCCTCCTTCCAGCCAGCACATAGCCCCTGGATTGAGGCATAAGCTCTCTGAGGACTCAAATGAATCTTCACACCAGCACGGGGACAGGTCAGGGAAGCTCACTCTTTGTTTCTGATATTGATAATGCTCAGTCCGATTGTGGCCGCCTTCTCCTTCCAGCCTTCCCCTGCCCTTCTCTGAAGACAGAAATTAAGCCCCCATACTCAGAATGTCCCATCCCGTCCCCCTCACCTCCAAGGAAATATCAGTGCATAGCATATGGGTGTAAGGGGGAAGGAGACAATCATTTCTCAATAAGCTCTTCTGATAGGACTTGCCTCCTGCGCACACTGATGGGTCAAAGGATGGAGCATGGTCATAAGCTGGACCAATTATAGAGCACTGCCATGCCCTGGGCGCAGCAGCTGGGTAGGGGATGGATGTCTGATCCAGTGGGGCCAACAGCGGTATATTTTTGGAATTCATGACCTAGGGACCACAGAGCACAGTGCTCATTTTCTCTCTTGGTGGAGACCAGCAGCTCTGAAGTCCAGAAGGCATTTCCTGCCACATGGAAGAAGCTGGCCTGCAGGAGGACAGATACCCGCACACAGAGATGAGGGATACCAGATCTCTTTTTAGCTATTCCTGAGGCACACTCACATCTTGACCTTCCTACAGTCATACCAGTCTTCCAGACACATTTTCCCTTGACTCTAAGTGAATCTGAAGAGGGTTTGGCATTAACAACCCAAAAAACCCTAACACTGATTGTTATACTCTTCATGTGTTTTGTTTTTCCAAACGAAATTTTTTTCCTGATTATCAGGGAGATGCTTATAAAAATTCAAATATTAGAATGTAGTATATAAAATAGAATTACCATAATTCCACCATCTAGACATCATAATTGTCTTTTGATATTCTTCCAGGCATTTCTTTCTTTTGAACTATAGATATTTTTTTAGGAGTGCAATTTTGTAACATACCAATTCACCTAAAAATATGTTTTGGATATTTTTATGGAACAATGCTTCTAAAATCTACTTTTTGAAAATGGTTACATGAAATCTTATATTAAACTACTTTAATTAATGTGTCCAGTCCCCTTTGTTGAACATTTCGGTTATTTCAAAAGTTCTGCCATTATAAAGAACACAACAGTGAACGTATTTGTATGTACATTTTGGAGGCTTTGATACAGCTTTCACTTCTTAAATTCTAACACTCTTACTTGTTTTGGCAACTTTTCTTGTGGCCTATCAATTTCAGGTATGCCCTCTTGATTCACTCCTTATTTATCCATTCATACTGTCAACAAACATTTACTGAGAGTCTGTTATGTATGCCACTCTACTAGATTTTGGGAAAATAAACGCAGGTAAATTTGTTTTTTTCCTTAGGGAGGAAGGAGAAACTAGTATCTATGGAAATGCTAAGCACTGTACAGGTTTATGTCATTCATTCGTCATTTAAAAAACAAACACCAATCCCGTGCAGTGGTATTATCTTTTTGTATAAATGAAGAAAGGAAGATCAGAGAGGTTGAATAGCTTGTCCAAGATCACACAGTACGTAAGTGCAGACCTATGTCCAGGTCTGACTTCTTTCTATCCTATGTAGTTTAAAGAGAGAGAGATATGAAAACAAATGACTAAACCAAGCTATAAGTAAAATCAGAACAAAAGGATGCATTTAGGTCCATCAACCACAATGATCAGCAGAGGCAGACCTGAGACACATCTTTTCTGTAGGAGGCAGCTTTTTAATAGTCCAGGTTAAAGGGTCAAAACCCAACCTTAAATGATTTGTCTGACTTCACACAGCTCCAGGAGACCCTTGGTTAATCAGAATTATTTGCCAGCTCAGAAACTGGGGGAGAGAAGGAGGCCATTTCTAAGCAGCTCCATTTGGAGAGGCGAAAACTTGCAGGTGTAATGCAGGGCTGCTGGGAAGGTCAAAATGGCAGTCAGAGAGCAGACAGAGCTATCTGAAAGAAGGGTTCAGAAGAAAGGAACAAACTACTGGGAGGTCTCCGGACTCGGGCTGTTGGGGATCACACTGGGAAGGGGTAGTGCCCCAGCATAAGCCAACCCTTGGAGGAGCCCGGAAGTATTGCATATGGGGAGTTGGCCTGAGCAGCTGCTCTGTCCACCCCCCTTTCTTTACACGTTCCAAGGGGGCTCCTTGTCCTGTAGCCTAACCCCTCCCCACCACCAGAGGCATCATGGCAGAGTATGGTGACTTTTCAACCTATTTATTTATTTTTTTAAAAGATTTATTTATTTTGAGAGAGGTGTAGGGTGCAGGGTGTGGAGGCAGAGGGAGAGAATCTCAAGCAGACTCCCCACTGAGCATAGGGCCCATCGTGAGGCTCGATCTCACCACCCTGAGATCATGACTTGAGCCAAAATCAAGACTCCGGCACTTAACCGACTAAGCCACCCGGGTACCCCTTCCACCTGCTTTAAATCTTGATGGGAACACCAACGGATAAAGCAAATGAAATTGGAGCTGCTCCCATCTGAGTGGGGGTCAGGGATGCCAGGATCGCCTTCCCCTCCCAAGAGGTTCTGTTGGGTCCATGGTTTCAAAACCACTGCCATCGCTGGGAGAGTCCCGAATTTAAAGTTAGAGCACCGAGGTTCTAATCCAGGCTCTGCCACTTACAAAGAGTGTGGCTTTTCAGAAGTCATTTAACCTCTCAGACTCCATGGTTTTCACTTGTGAAATGGAAGAAACTGATTCTTGTTTCCTTCAGAGGCTGACATGAGCAGCAGGAGCAGCCATGTGGGTAAAAGTCATATAAATGTGAAATGTTCCTTTGCTTGGGTTTTCCACATTTACACGGCCCCTGGACTCCTCTGTGTCTCTGGGCAAAGGGGCGAAGCCACAGCATGTGGAAACCAG